CTCTGCTCCTTCCCCAGTACCATGTCTCCCTGGATTTCACCTTACCCTATAATAATAGACCTAACATCTAAACTGTAAGCCAGCTCCAGTTAAATGTTTTCCTTTATAAGAGTTGCAATGGTCATGGATAGACATCAATAGAAACCCTATCTAAGATACCCCTCTTCCATTATGCTCGCTTGAATATCAGAAATGACAGTGTCATGGGGTGGTTTTCTAGAACAAAAGCAAATGTGGGGTGGAGATAGTTGAGCGTATGTGACACATTGTATTTGATGTAAATGGCAGAGCCTATGAGACAAAGTGTGTTTGCTGTATATAGTAGAGCTGTCAAATGGGCTTTCATAAACTTTTTGGAGCTAGACGTCTACACAGTGAGGGAGTCCCAGATACTGAACATGAGATGCATGATTTCCATTTACACTGCTAGATTTTTCATTTATTTTGATATTCTTTACTTCTTTCATTTTGGAGTAAGACATATATTGTTGGAGTTTTTTGTTATTTTGCAAGACAGAGTTAAGAGACTTTTGACTTTTAAAGAGTCACTGCATATTTAATTGCTTAAAATGTAAAGAGTATGGGACTTTGAAATTTTGACTGCATTTTATGTGGTGAACTTAAAATGAGAGCTCAGGGACAAGGAATAGAAAAATTATGGCTTTGAGTGAAAAGTTTGTGTGGCAAGTTGACAAATGGTGGAATGTCCAAGTTTCTAACTGGGATTGAGAGGTACCAAGAGAATACTTCATCAATTTATCTTATGGAGATATCTCTAAGGGATTATCTTAGTTGTTAGTTGATGTAGGGTGACTCAGCCTACTTATGGCATTGCCATTCCCTCAGCTAGTGGTCTGGACCTCTATAAGAAAGTTATTTAAACTATTGCCTCTGAAAGTGGGGAAGCCAGCAAGCAGTGTCCCCATAGTATTTTAGCTCATGCTTGAGTTCCTGCCATGAATTCTCTCAGTGATAGACTTTGAAAAAGTGCTCTGGAATATATATATATATATATTTTCCTCTCACATTTTGTTTTCTGTCTGTCATCTTATGAGCTTTCCTCCTCTTCCATCCCTATTCCATTACATAATACATACATAATAGTCTCTATAGATCTATTAAATTATGTATTATACACTCAAACCATGAGCTGCAATAATCTGTTTTCTCTTTATATCATTTGCTAATTTACACAGAGTGACTTTAGTATTGAATTTGAGAAAAGAACAAAACACCACAAATTCATATTATTTCTAGATGCTGACTATGAAATATAGATGAATCATATTAAAATAAAATAATTGACAAAGTCCTCTCTACCACTAATAAAAACAAAGTGTCATATGTTCATTGGGGCATTAGTTACAGGATTCAGTACATGGAAGATCTAGGCATGCAACAATAGATAAATAGATTATGAATTTGTGACAGTTACACAGCATGTCATTCCTCAACTGTCAGAAGTGAGTTCTTATCCTTGGCTACAATATGGGTGGAGTTATGCCCAATATTTAGGAACTAATCCTTGTAAAATCTCTCAAAATAGAACAATTAGCATGACAATAAATATTTAAAGCACAAGCCTATGAAGATTTTTGATATTCAGACCTTAACATTCTGCCCTCTATCCCAAAGTGTCATTAACATTTCACAAGGTAAAACTCATGTAGTTCATCTTCAAGAGTCATAAAATACATACATTTCCAACACTATTTCAGAAGCCCAAGTTCAATAAGAGGGCAGGATAGATATGGAATTTGGGGAAGGTTAAGGATAACACTGTAGACTTATGAAAGCTATATGGAAGCCCACAACTTCCTCAAATAGATACATACATTAACGAAGTTTTAATTTAAATGAAGTTACCTTTTAACTCAACTGGAAGTAAGATCAATATAAGGAGAAAACTATTATATAACCTCATTAACATATGGAATGTATTTCAAAGTGTTGATATATACAGGCAGACTGCATAATATTATGGTGGTTACTAAATCTTTGTGGTAATAGTAAATGGATCAACGTGCAAAAAATGTAAAGTAACAAATATATAAGAAGAAATAAAAATAATTTACAACACAAGATCTCTATGTGGCAATAGTGCATTGTATTCAGGAGTTTTTTCTAAAGCATCTTTTACTTTATGGAGGAAAAGGAAACTTTAATTTTAAATATATGAATGTGTGTGTGTGTGTGTGTGCATGCGCTAATATATCTATATGTTAGTTCATTCATATTTAACAACAATTTTATCACACGTCACACAACATGACAATATAGTCCTTTAGTTTGCATTATCAATTTTATATTTCATTGCAAAAATGAACAGTAATGACCTCCAAGGCAGAGTTATGACTGGAGGAACAGAGGGAACTCACAGAGACAAGAAAGTATTTTGTGTCTTGATTGGGTTTTGAGTCAAGTAGTTATATTTATCCAAGAAAATTTATTGAACTATGCATTTGTTTAATCTGTGCCTATCACTTTTTCTTAATTACACTTTAAATTATCAAATGCAATAGCATTTAAGAATCAAATATTATTTCATAGAAAATGTTACCACACTTGAGGTAATATTTTCTAGGATTAGCCTTTGTCTACATAAAAGGCTGCATAGTATTCCATTGTGTATATGTAGCACATTTTCATTATCCATTCATCCAGTGCAAGTCATTTGTGTGGTTTTCATTTCCAGGCTTCCGTGAAGACAGTGTCAATGAACACTGGTGAACAAGTGTCTGTGAACTAGGCTGTTCAGTTCTTTGGTCATATGTCAGTGAGTAGTATAGCTGGGCATATGGTAGATATATTTTTAGTCTTCTGAAGATTTTCCATCCTCTTTCCCAGAGTGGTTTTACTAGTTCACATTTCTATAAGAATGAATGAGGGAGAGGTCTGCTTTCTCCACAACCTAGATAACGTCTTTTGTCCTTTTTTGTTGGTGTTGTTGCTGTTGATTTGAAACGTGCTCCCTAGCATGACGTGAAATGTCAATGTTGTTTTAGTTTGCATTCTTTTCATTGCTTAGGATGATAAAGACATTTCAAGATTTCATCAGCAAATTTTTATTTATTTTCTTGAGAACTCTCTGCTTAGGTCTTAGTCCATTTTTCAAATGGTCATTTGTTTTCTGGACTCTTTATTTTTGAAATTCTTTGTATATTCTGAGTATTAATTCTCTATCCGGTGTATAACTGGAAAAGATTCTGTCTCACCCTGTGGATTTCTTCTTTACCTGACTGATTGCTTCCTGAGTTGTGCAGGAGTTTTTTAGTTTTATGAAGACTTACTTATCAATTGTTTGTCTCAACTCTTTAGTAAATGGAGTCCTGTTCATAAAGACAAATGCCACACAGTCTTTCTTACCTGTAGTTCCTGGCTCCAAATTCTCAAATATGCATATACAATATGGAATAACCACAAACCAGAAAAATATAAAGAGACCATATGTTGGGGGGGGGTGGGAGGGAATAGTAGGGTAGAGATGATTTGAAGTATGATTTGGAATAATGAGGAGAGGATTTGCCTGGAGGGGAGTTTAGATAGAGAAGGATATAGGATGGACAGAGAACAAAAAATAGGAAGGTTGTATGTTAAGGCCATAAGGAATTTATTATTTTATATTTCCTTGAAATTATACAATATATGAATATATATGTATGTATATATGTATATGTATATATTCCTGTGTATATATATACATGCATACAAATATATGCATATATACAAAAATTATATATATGTATATATAAATATATGTATATTCATACACACCTTTTAAAGGAGGTTAAGCCACTTGGGCTGACAATAATCCCAACAGAACTAGTTCCAGGCATGAGAAACCTGTTTTTGAATGATTGGTTAGTCCCTGTGACTCTGAAACAATATAGATTATAAATGTAACCAATGGTCACTTCTTAGTGCTTGTGGGTAGGCCCATATTCCTGAAGACACTTTACATTTAGGACAAGGGATTCAGATGTTTTGAGCTTGAGCTAACCTCTTTCCTGCAGATGGCTTCCATGGTTCCAGAAAATACTATACAAACTCCCAAGGGAAGAAAACAGTTAAACAGTCCTACCAAGCTTCAATACTCATGGATCATTTTAAAAAGAAAATGTAAACATTCATAATTCAATTTTCAGATGCTATGTGCTCCTGGGAATAATATAAATCTCACAGGGTTCAATTTAAGAAGAAATTAATTCAATTACACTCAATGGAAATGTTTTCACGAGGGGTTAGACAGTCACAGAGGGAGAGAGTCAGGGCAAAGACAAGGGAAGAAGAGGGAAGACATGACCACGGAATGCTAACCAAGGCATTGGGAAACGGGGAAACTGGAAATAGTCTCTCTCCACCTTCAAGTGTGTTTGGATGTTGATGCATAGAACCTGATCTTATTATTTCAATGCTGAAGATGGCAGATATTTGAAGTTCAAGACTCAAATGGGTGAATGGAGATTTAGAATAGGCAATCTTAAAGATTCATATTTGTTTACTAAGCAATTTATATAGAGAAAAATTTTAAATTATATGTATTCTAAAATGTGAGGATATTGAAAGAAACTGTAACTGTAGTAATTTTAAATAATTTCTCTTAACATTTAGAAAACCACTTGTAAAAAAATAGAGACATTTCTATTAAGTACAGTATTATTTAATCTTTATCATGTTCAATGACCAAAGAAATCCTGACCTTCCTTGCACTGCCTTTGGTCTCCTTTGTAGGGAGGGTTTTGTCTATAGAGGGAGCTATCCTGGCCTCAAGTGATTTGATTAAAAGGTTTATATCATAAGGGGATGCAGTGAGGCCCACATAAGGCAGGTTTAGAGAGCTTAAGTCAGTTTCTATTTAACAAGGCCCATTTCACCCAATTTCTACAAAATGACTATTTTCTCAACAGTTGAACAAGGTTGTGAAAATGGCCCACACAGAAAAAGGTCAAGTTGATTCACAAAGCAACTATGTCTGATCAAGGACACACTCAGCTACTACACTAGATTGTTTCTTGCTCTCCCAGATTTCCTGAAGAACCCCTCTCTCCATCTTCTTCCTCAGGAGTGTCCTGCATGGCTCTTTGCAGAAGAATCTTCAGAGACTGCCTCTGAAACCTGCAATGCCTAATGGAGCCAACAAAGAAGTAAATAATGGGGTTGGCACAGCTGTTAACATAAGACAGAAAACTTATAATTTGAATACTATTGCAAGAGAAAATACTAAGCAACTTCGTATTCGAAATGAGAAGCATACAATAGATACCAAAGGGCAAACCAAAGAGTAAGAAGACCAATACTGTGAGTGCAATGGTCACATACAACCTGGTCACAGGAATCCTCTGTGAGCCACAGAAGATCCTGACCAACAGGGCCAGGTTGAACCCACAAGGAACCACAGATAGTACTATTATAAATACAGCAGTGGTAATAGTAGCAGTTTTACAGAGAGAAACTCCATAACAACTAAGCAGTGAATTGCACCTAAACTCTAACATGAGGCTTAACAGTAGAGAGAAGGCCCAGATCAGGGCACACAGGACAGATGACATGTGTCTTGGTCTCTGACAGTGATACCAGATGGGCCACAAAACAGACAGGCATCGCTCAACACTGATGGCTGCAATCATACATAAACCTGCAAGGTAAGCAATGAGTGATAAATTGGTGAGATAGAATGGAACATGGAAGAAGTTGACATTGAACAGAAGTAGAATTTTTTTCAGGGAATACACAGTCTGAAAGCAGAGGAAGAGGAAGTCAGCCCCAGCAAGGTTAAGGACATAGACAGAGAAGGCATTCCTGTCCATGTGGAAGCCCAAGAGCCACAGCACTATGGCATTTCCTGCCAGCCCAACCATGCAAATGATGACATTAAGAATACTGAAGATTTTGTAAATGGTGATACAGTGTAAGCTTTCACTGTAGTAACTTCCATTCATTGTTGTGTTGTCAGTGCTCCAGGCTGGACTGAATGGACCCATGCTTGATAATATTCCACTGGTGTTCCTGCAAATAAATTGAGATATGAACACATGAAACTTTCTGTCAAGACCACCTTACTATGTGGGAATGTCTGGCACAAGTTCATAAGGAGGGGAAAGCAGGCATGCAGAGTTTAAGTAATTTATCAAATCCCCAAATTTCTTAGAAACTTCTTTTAAATCCAGTTTGTACTATTCAGTCTATCTGCAGACCAATACCTCTAGTGATGTTGGGGTAGTTGATGGTCCCAGTCCAGTTGTTAAGCATCTTATGCTGTGTTAGGAAGAGACAGAATTCTGAAACTAACTTTCTTTCTGTTCCAGGCCTGAGGTTCCTTCTTTGTTGTAGGAATATGGGAGATGCTGGCACAAGCCATAGCTGCCCTCAGTCAGTGTAAGGGGTCTACCAAATGGGGAAAATAGAATAATGAATGAGAGTCATGAAGGGGATGGGATTTCTTATGAAGACCTGTGTGAGAACAGTCACACTTCTTATGCTAGAATGGCTGAATCTTCATTTTAAAATTTGAAAACTAGAAGTCAGAGAAGCCCTGGAGGACATCAAGCACTTTTCTGTTTCTTATTATGTCACCAGTGTCCTGTTCTCTATGGGGCTACAGGGGAAAGTTAAGAACTATAACAAATGAGCAAATGAACCATAAGTTCAAAGGCAGTTGAAAATTTGAAGTAAATGTTGTTCTACTTGTGACTTGTACCTGCATGCATTGCTCAAGTCTCTGGCATGAAAAGTGTGGCCTGTGCTGCAGAGGAAGCTAGAGAGCACCTCCATTTGGTAATAGTGTCCCAACCCCTGGGAAGAGCTTTGAGGTCTATACATGGATGCAAATAGTCTGGAAAAGAGAGCAGCATAGCTGGGAGGTAGCATCATTTAGAGCTTTCTTTCCACTCTACTTCCCCATACAGACATCATTAATAGCCTTCTATTTCTTACCCCTGAAGCCACAGAGACATTTGAAGAAAAGAAAGCTTTTCTTTCTCACACTGACCAAGGGTACTATCAGTAGCTTAGCCTGAACAGTACCCATATAGAAAGTTTTGCATTGAGGGATCCTTCTGGATAACTTCTTATTCTAGATAGAGGCCTTCATGTAGGAGAAATCATCTGAGAATGCCGAGACAGAGTTCCAGGCTCAGGGAAAGCTCTCAAGGACTTTACAAACTAACCTCACACAAGGGCTTTGAAGAAAATGACCCAAAAAAACTCAGTTATGTACACCAAGATCATACAATTCATTCTTGGAGCCTTAATCACCCAATAGGAGCATAAGGTTTTAATTCAGGAAACCATCTGTGGCATCAACAGCTTAAAACAATCAAACTGGTAGGAAGTAAGCAGTTGACTTAAACTTTTTGAGCTTGCTGCTGAGGGTAGCATGGCTGTGGTTGGTACAATTGTTCACCAGTATGCATTTCAGCTTCATGAAATGGAAACGGGAAGTCAAAATAGGATCTACTCATCTTCAGCTCCCATTGTTACTGCTTTTGCTAGTCAGTGTTTTTCTAGTCAGTGGAAAACAGTGATGCTGAGAATGACTTGAACTGTGGAGCCCTGACACAAGAGGGTTCAGTGGAGAAGAATGTTAGTATGTTGCCCAGACACTATTCTTGGGGTATTTTGGTGAAGAATATGGCTGCTTTCTTCCTTTGTCCAAAAAAATGTGCCTGGGTCTAAACTGAAGAGTTTTGCATTAATTTCATTGGCAGCGGAAATCTCAAAACAGCCTAGAATGAACTCTGTCCTGTGGTTATTAGAGTTCACTCTTATGCAGATCTAAAATGAAAAGGAGGAAGCTGATTTTAAAATGTAGAATTTGAGGAGAAAAGTGGCACCAAGAATTGGAATGGAGCTAAGTTATGTGGTCTAGAATATAAACAGATTAAAGAAAAGCCTGGTACTAAAAGGAATCAAGGGTATGCTAAACTCAGGAAATGACCCTGCTCAGCTAAGCTTCCAACTTGTGAAAAGGAATGAAAGAACAGCTTAGATTCCAGGCATGATGTTATGTTCCTTTCATCTTGGCACTCAGGAGACAGAGGCAGGAGGATCTCTAAGTTCAAGGCCAGCCTTGTCTACATATTGAGAGTCAGGGCAACCAAGCTTAGGCAGTAAAGGAAACTATCAAAAACAGAAAGCTGGTAAGGAATAATTGAATAAGGTAACCAGGTTACCACCCCAGGAAGCAGTGAATCTTGACAGCTTTGGCCATGTGATTCCAGCATTAGAGTCAAGTATAGAAGGTTATGGAATCTCTCTCTGCAACAACAGAAATCATCTGAGGCCCAGCATGTCTCAGGAGTGTCCCTGAATGGATGCCTAGTGAGGTATATGTGAGGCTTTGAATCTGAAGCCTGGATTGCTATGGAGATCCCAAGATGTTGGAGATGCCAGAGTCGTGGGATGCCTCCCAAGGAAAGCTGTTAACAGGGAGTTGAATCAGTCTGTTTTGCGTCTTGCTTTGGTCCAGTTTTTCCTCACCATGCTCCCTTTCCTCCATTTTGGAATGGTAATGTATATCATGTGCCATTATATGTTGGCAGTAAGTGATCTCCTTATTCAGTTTGATTTTACAGGAGTTTCAGTTAAGAGATTGGCATGAGTATTGGAAGAGATTTTGGACTTTAGACAACTTTGAAATTGTTATAGACTACAGGGACTTTTGAAGTTGGACTAAATGCATTTTTTTGCATTATGATAAAGATATAAGTCTATGGGTCCCAGGAAGTGGAATGTGGTGGTTTGAACAAAGATGACCCCATAGGTTCATAGGGAGTGTTACTATTAAGAGATGTAACCTTGATGAAGTAGGTGTGGTGTTGTTGGAGACAATGTGTCTCAGTTTCTTTCTGCTTCTTGCAGATCCAGATGTAGTACTTCCAGTTCCTTCTCTAGCACCATGTCTGCCTGCATGTCACCATGCTTCCTATCATGATGATAAGGGACTAAACCTTTGAACCTATAAGCCAGCCCCAATTAAATATTTTCCTTTATAAGATTTGCTATGGCCATGGGGTATCTTCATAGAAATAAATCCTTAACTAAAACATAGTTCATAACAGTTCACCCAAGAACTATAGAATATATATCCTTGACATCAACCTATAGAATTTTTCTATATCATATTTTAGGTCATCAAGCAGTCTTAATGAGCATTCAGGGAATTGCAATGTATTGTATATTATTAGTTCACACTAGAATAGAATTAGAAGTGGTCAACAATACATAGCCCAAGTGATGCTGTTTGGCTCAGTTTTGTGCAAGCCACCCACAGGCTAGATTGGGTCCTCAAGACCTGGATTGGCAGGAAGACTTCCATGGCCTATCTGATGCTGTCTAGCTCAGGTGTATGCAAGCCATCCATAGGCCAGCCTGTTGGGTCTTATTATAACAAGCAAGAGTGTGGTGGAGAAATGGGAGAGGAGAGGAATGGTTTATGTGCTATGGAATGAGTTGGAATGGAATAGGTTAATGTGGTGAGGAGTAGGCTAATATGGGAGGCCTTCTTGACAATCAAGGACATGGTTGCATGTAGCATGAATCTTAAAGAGTCTTATTAATAAGATCAAGCCTGGAGCCAGTTATTGGGGTGAATGCTGGATGGTCAGAGAGACAGAACAAGCCACAGCTAACCTCACCTTGCCAGTTCCCCATCTGATCTTGTTTCCTCAGACTGGAATCCTCTGAGTACTCATCCAGAATGGGTCTCAGCTGAACTGTGCTGCTCAAATCCTAAAAGCGTAAGCAGCCAAATGCTTAACCAGCCAAATGCTTCTAGTTCCTGGTCTTCACACCTTATATACCTTTCTGCTATCTGCCATCACTTTCTGGGATTAAAGGCGTGTGTCACCATGCCTGACTGTTTCCAATGTGGCCTTGAACTCACAGAGATCCATGCCTCCAGAAGGCTAGGATTAAAGGTGTGAGTACTACCATTTTCTAGCCTCTGTATCTAGTGGCTGTTCCATTCTCTGACCCCAGATAAGTTTATTAGGGTACACAATATTTTGGGGAAAACAATACCACCACAGTGGCATCTGGGTCAGATTGCTGCCCAGGTTCATGTCTGCGTCCATGGTTCTACCACAGCCAGGGTCTGTGTAGTCATCCATGGCCCCATTGCTACAAGGATCCATGGAGTTGTCCAATGTCTGGGCTGCCATCAGTGGCCATGTGAGTTTCCAGAAGCTGTGCCACCACCAGAGCCACACTGGTTTGTGTGCCCTGTGTGGCCATTCAGGGCCTGAGATGCTGCAGAGGGCCAGTCTGGGTCCAAGGTCCTATAACAGTCAGGGTCAAGACCAATGTCTGTGGCTTCTATTATAACTAAGGACTGTCTGGTTACTGGGGTCTGATCAACCAACTTGTGACTATGTTGTTCCCCAAGGTCCATGCCACATCTGGGGCCATACAGACCAATGTGGCATATTCTGTTTTCTGTTGCCATGGTGATGTCTGGGTCAGGGATCCAGGTAGGTGCCATGTCTGGGTCCCTGGCCCTACAGCAGTAAATGTCTGTGGCTCCTGTGGCAACTGAGGCCTGTATGGGTGCTGAGGTCTGATCGGCCACCTGGGACCATGTTGGTGCTCAAGGGCATGCCACATTTGGGGCCATACAGACCAATGTGGAACATTCTGTTATCTGGTGCCATGGTGACGTCTAGGCCAGGACTGCTCCTGGAGCCATGTCTGGTTCTGTGACACTACTGCATCATGGGTCTCTGTTGATGGCCATGGATCCTTTCACCATGAAGGCATGTAGATTCCTGGGGACTGAGCCAACACCTGTGGCCATTTATGTATCTGATGGCCATACTGCCACTGGGGTCATGATGATCTGGGTGACCTGTACTGCCATCTGGGGCCATGGTGACATCCAACCTGGCTGGTGCTGAATGCCATGTCTGGGTCTATGGTTTCACCACAATCAGGGTCTGTGTTGCCACTAAAGGTTACACAGAAGCCTGAAATAGGGGCTGCAACCTGTGGCCTTGTTGGTGTCCAAGAGCCATGCCACTACCAGAGCCATTCTGATCTGAGTGGCCTGTGCTTCCACCAAGAGCCAGGATGTTACCCA